TCCTCTGACTCTGAAGCCAGCTCTTCCCACAGTACCAAACTGCCTGTGTTGGGAGACCTTCCTCATCTTCTTCTGGTATTTTGAGGATAACAGTGGAGCCCACAAACCATGAACATAAGCATTGGAGACATAAAAACAGACCTGCTCCACTGAAACCACCACAGTTGTTCAGAGGAGGACGTCTGAGTGCTAGATACTTGGGGAGCGCCTCCTAACTGCTCTGCATTCATCCTCCCGCCCAACTCAAATAGCCCCTTTTCCATGAAGCCTTCCAGGCTAGCCCACAGTGGCCTCATGCATCTTCACTGACACTTAACTCATCTCTGACCCTGTGACATCCATCACCTGATGGCTCATCTTCTTATTTGACCTAACATGCCCATCCCCTCTGCAGATTTTCCCAGAACACATGGGCTCTCTTCCGTGGCCATCACTGCCCACCTTATACCATACATTTCTGCGCATCCTCCGGGCTCCTACCAGGAATTACATTAGCGACAAATATAGCTGACATAGAGTTATAAATAATAATGATAACAAATATCATTGTATGTAAAAACAGTAAGCATATGTATAATAATGAACATAATGCTTTGAGGGGAGCTACATGCATTATTTTATTTGGCCCTCACATAGCGGGTATGTATCAGAGACAGGATTTGAACTCAGGTCTTTCAGATTACAAGGGAGAGGGATGGGGACTGGTCCTGAGAATTCATTAATATAGGGAACTCCCTCCACCAGTGTAGATCACCACCTTATTTGCTGCGTACAGTTTGAGCATTACCTGGAATACTGGGAGGTTATAACTTCCCCAGGTGGGACATGAACTAGTTTTTTAGCCTGCAGGTTGGCTTCCCATCCACCTTATCTCTCCATACTCTGGCCCTTTATCCTCTACACCAAGGCCTCAGAGGGTAGGGACTGTCTTTGTTCATCTTTCTATCCCCAGCACCTAGCCCAGTGCCTTGTGCATAGTAGGTGTTTAATAAGCACTTATTACAGTTAAATGGACAGAGCTGGGTCCATAGTAGGTGCTGAGTAAAAAGGTGTTAGGACAAGGAATGAATCAGGTAGGCAGGATTGGACAGGTACATTACTGCAGTGAATGAAGCCGGACATCTCTGGAAAGTCTTCAGGGAGGAGATGCATGCAGGATCTTGAAGGAGAAGGAGAATATGTGAAAGACTGTCCTGGATGTTCCAAGCCCAAGTGGGGAAGGGGTTGGTCTTGTGTTAGAAGGAAGGTTGTCTCCAGGACTCTGCTGCCCCAGTGGGCATTTACCCAAATGTAGGGGTATTAGGTAGCCTGTGTACTTGGTTCTCTTTTAAGGTGGAAGGGAGTAGGAAACTCTACCCAGTGACCTAGCATCATCTTCCCAGTGGGCTGAGATTTGTGCCAGGCATTCCACCCTGGATGGTTCCATGCTGGTGATAGCTGCCGTATGCTAAGAGGTAAGGGTTTTGGACTGGCTCTTAAGAAGACTGGGTTTGGTTCCCAGCCCCAGGCCTAGATAAGTCCCTACACATCTCTTGGCCTCAATGTCTTCATCTGTACAGTGGGGAAGGACCAGGAGGGGCTGAATTCGATGTGCTTCCTCCTGGATTCACTTAGAGGACCTGGGCACCATAGGCTGGCTTTGAAGATGGTGCTTCCTGGGGGTGCCGTCCCCAGAGACTTCGAACCTTCCTTGTAACACAAGTAAAGGTAAGTTCCTTGAAGGCAGGGACTGTTTTGGTCTCTGTGTTCTCAGAATTTGGCAGTGCCTGGCACATAGTAGGTGCTTCATAAATGCCTGTTGATTGATATGTATCCTTGGTGTCTAGCATAGTACTGGAAACATAGTAGGCACATAGTAAATGTCTGCTGATCGATTGATTAATTGTGAAACACCTAATTGCTCTTGGAGAGAGTTATTTCCTGATATTAAATATATAAACATTTAAACTTAATAATGATTTTAAGATTTGCATAAAAAAAAGAAGTGTTGCTCATGTCATGCTCTTCTCCCCCACCTCCTCCACCCCTCCCTGTGTTGGCCTGTCCAGTGGCTTTCCGCTCTGCCTGACCTTGATCTCCTTCCTATGAGCAGGGATCTGCTCGGATGTCCTTTATTACATCCTTGTGCCAGCAGGGGGCACCACAAACCTTGGAAAATGACTGGGGGCCTCCAGCCCTCCTGGCTAAGTGAGCAGATTGCTTGCAGGGAAAGTGGCCAGTCCCGTCGGCAGAGGATGCAGGACTAAGGACTGAGAACTAAGGGAAAATATTCCCAGACCCCCCAGCCCACTTCCAGTTCACAACCCAGTTCAGACAGGAACCTTTCTGAAACCACTAATGATGGGCAAGGGTTACTGTCCACCCCAAGAAAACTCTGCCTTGGGTTTCACCCAGCTGGGGATAGATCTCCCTCTCTGTCTCTCTGTCTCTCTCCTCTCTGTCTCTGTCTTCTCCCTCTCCCTCTTCCTCTCCCTCTCTCTCTCCCTCCCTCTCTGTCTCTCTCTCTGTCTCTCCCTCTTCCTCCCTCCCTCCCTCTTTCCCTCTCTCCTCCCTCCTCTCTTTCTCTTCCCTCCTCTCCTTCTCTCTCTTCCTCTCTCTCTTCTCTTCTCTCTCCCTTCTTTCTTCCATCAGTCTTCCTTCTATCTGTCTCTCCTCTTTTTGTCTCTCTCTCCTCTGTCTCTCTCCTTCCTCTCTTTCTCCTCTCTCTATTTCTATATCTCTGTCTCTCTCTCCTCCATCTGTCTCTTACACACACACACACACACCACAACGCAACACAAAATGATGAGTTGGTCTCCCCACAATAATAAACCCTGGAGCCCTCTGGAAAACTCTAACTCAGCTTCAAGGACAAGTGTAACTTAAAGGATCAGATGAGCACAGATCTATTAGTCAAAGGGAGGTGGGGGAGGGAAGGAAACAAGTATTTCTGTAGCACCTACTATGTGCCAGGCATTGTGCTAAGCACTGTTTACAAATATTATCTCATTTGATCCTCACATCAGCCTTGCAAAATAGGTGCTATTATTATCCCCGTTTTACAGATGAGGAAACTGATATAGACAAAGGTTGTCACTTGGCCAGGGTCACATAGCTAGTAAGTGTCTGAAGCTGGATTTGAATTCAGGTCTTCCTGACTCCAGGAAATCCAAAGAGGCCTTGGAGTTCATCTAGTTCAACACCGGCCCCCCTCCGCATTCTACAGGCAAGGAAACCAAGGCTTGATGGATGAGGTGACTGCCTGAGGCCCCACAACTAGTTAGCGGCCAAGCAGGGAGCTTGAGGCCAGGGTATCGCAGAGTTTCTCAGTCAGAACATTGTCTTTCTCCTCTTCAGAGTGCTCTTGGTTCTGGGTTATTAGAAATACATGATAGAAAGATAGATAAATGATAGGTAGGTAGATAGAAAGATGATGGGTAGAGAGCTAGATAGATGGGTGGATAGATGATAGGTAAGTAGATGGATGGATGATAGCTAGGTAGGTAGGTAGATAGACAGACAGACAGACAGACAGATAGATAGATGGCAGATAGATTGTACTCGAAGTCTCCAAGTCCAGGGTCATAATCTCTGCCTGCCTTGCTTTCGCTCTCCATCGAGTGCTGTTACCCAGAGTCAGTTGGACAGAGCAAGATCGCCTCTCTGGGCCTGGAGCATCTTGGGCTTGGACCGCCGCATTCACAGCTTACCTCTTGGGAATGCTGTCAGGCTCCTGAGTCACTCAGGTTTGGCAAGCGCTCCATCACTGAGTGTCCTTGGAATGTGACTGCCATTTTTTTGATACTTTGGATCAATAATGAGTAATAAAAATTATTATTCCATCTTTCTCAATGACATCTGGTATTTATGTAGCACTTTGTTTTTCATCCAGACTTGTGATTTCATCAGTGTGGGGGAACTCCCAGTGTGGAAACTCTCCATCCTGGTCTGATTGGCAGCTCATCTGCTTAAAGGGTTTCCTGAGTCCCTGACCATGGTCACATAGTAAAGTGTGCACCAGAAAAAAAGACTCTGCCTTTGACCGTGCCATGTTCCTTCTTACCTTTCGAGCTACAGTCTTTTTTTTATTTGCTATCTCATTTCAGCCTTACAACAGGCCAGTGAGGGGGATATTGCACATTTTGTTTTCCCCATTTTACAGATGAGGCAACTGAGGTAATTTCTCCATGGTCACATGGCTAGTAAGCAGTAAGAGGCAAGATTTGAACCCAGCTCCCCCTCTCTGAATCTGGCATTCTATCTTCTGTGACTCGCTTTCTATCAAAAATCATCTCAAGTAACAACAGTAAGAGCAGAATTGATTCAGTTCCTAGAATCACAGAACTTCCCGGGTGGGAGGGGAATCTTAGAAATCACCAAATCCAAGCCCCCTCCTTTATGGCTGAGGAAAAAGACTGGTACAAAGACACATGCTCCATTGGGGACAGCTGGAATCAGAACCCAGGGGTGCTCGGGTTCTCCTTTAGGAACCAGAAGGAAGACAGGGCAAGAAGGTTTCTCCTTCCCAACCTAGCCTCTTTGGTATGCTCAGCTGCCCAGTGTTGGCAAGGCCTTAACAACTGAAGCAAGCCCGACGCAAACGGCATTTTCTGCTCTCCGTGGACGGCGGGGGTGGATAAAGGAGCTTTGCTTCAGGGCGCCAGCCTCCCACAAGCCCAGGTCTAGGACAGAGTCAAAAGGGCACCAGAGTTAAAGCCACTGGACCTGCTTTAAAGCTCGGGCTCTGCTATTCAGACCTCCGGCCAGTTGCTTCTCCTCCCTGGGCCTCAGTTTGCCCATCTGTCAAACGCGGGGGCTTGGACTAGCTGGCCCCTTCCAGCTCTTCCTCCCAGAGTCAGTGGGGAGAAGGAGGAGCAGAGGTAGGGGGAGGATGCTCAGGGTTGGCTAGAGATGCCCCCGTAGGGGAGGGATGAAAGGGGTGGAGAGAATCCTGAAGGGATGCCCTCTTTTTCGGAGCAGGGAGGGTAGGGGGCAGGAGAGGGAGGCAGAGACTTACTTACAGAGGATTGCGGACCTCAGGCAGCTCCCTGCGCAGGGAGATCTGCTGGCTTAAGGCTTCGTTGAAGCCATAGGTGTCCAATCCAAACGTGTCCGGCTGCTCTTGCCCATCGTCTGCCTCAGAGTCCGGCAGGGAGAGGCCCTCCAGCTCGGCCCCCCAGTGCAAGGCCGGTCTGTCCAGGGCTCCCTCCTCCAGCCTCCTGCCCGGCCGCTTGACCAGCCGGTAGCCCCCTCTCTTCCTGGTCTGGCTCTGGTTCCTCCTGTCCCTAGGGGAGGCCACGGCCATCAGGAGCTCATCCTCTTTCAGGGAGATGAAGGGGGCCAGGCCCTCCAGGGGGTAGTACTCCTGACTCTCTTCCTCAGTCTCCAGCACCCAGTCCTGGGGTTTGCCAAAGTCCACCTGATAGCCCACTTGAGGGCTGGGCTTCTCAGCCTGGGCCGAGGGATCCCCGAAGAGGTCCTGAGGGGGCGGGTGCAGCACGGTCACCGTCACCAGTAAGCATCCCAGCATCAACACCACCACCAGAAACTGCAGCCTGCGGGGCCAGGCTCTGGAGCGCCTCCTCAAGAGCATGGTGCACGAGGTCCCCCAGTGCAGCAGGTCATGTTCGTCCTGTCCCAGAGGTCTGCCGGACCCTCGCTTAAGTGGCCCCCGGGGCAGGCGGCCTCCAGCGGAGCAGCTTCCTGGGGCTCCCTCCCACCAAACACGTGCCTGTCACTTAACGTGGTCTCACGCCTCCCTCCAGCATCTGCCAGCAGTCTGGAGTACCTGCCGGCTGCAGATGACTCCGCTCTCCTCGGACACACGCTTGAACCCTTCCCTCCCCTGCAGAGTAGTTCTGTTAACTGCTCATAAGCCCCCTGGGGCTGACCTAAGCTTAGGTTTCCCTGCCCACCCACACCTCCCACCACCACCACGGTTGCCCCTTTTCTTTATCTTGCAAACAATTTTTAAAAATTATCGGTCCATCTTTCTCAATTGCTTCTTCCACTGTGTTTTCCTGCCCTGGCCAAGTTGCTAATAGATGCCCGGGGTGAGCTGGGTGGGCCTTCTCCCAAACAGCTTTGACAGCCGCAGTTCCCTGTTTTGATGGTTCAAGGCAGGTCAGATCAACAGATGTAAACGAGTCAGCCCCTGACTTTCTTTCACACAGAGCTCCAGCACTCAGTCAGGGAGCCTTTGGCCAGACATAATACAGAGCAAAGTGGGTGTCTTTCTCTCGGTCCTAATGCCCTCACTGTTCCTTGGCCTATCCCAACTCTGCAGAGCCTGACTTGTGGAGAAAATGAAAGCAGGGACTCTGCCAAAACCAGATCAAAACAGGAACAACTCAGGAATCCAGATTACAATCTCTTTCTAGAACGGATTTCTTTTCCTTCCAGAACTTACAGAGGAAGTTTTTCCTTGCTGCTCTCCCCCATGCTTCCCTCCCTTCCCTCCCATTATAGAAAGCCTGCAGCATCCCCAGGAGGTGGG